TGTTTTAACATAAAGTGTAAATCAATGTGTTCACAGGTTTTAAATTAATCACGTTATTTGGTCTCTCAAGGTTTTACTGTGCATTTATAATTGTTATGAAAACATTTCTTTATTGACTATATAAAGATGTATGATGTTTTAACATAAAGTGTAAATCAATGTGTTCACAGGTTTTAAATTAATCACGTTATTTGGTCTCTCAAGGTTTTACTGTGCATTTATAATTGTTATGAAAACATTTCTTTATTGACTATATAAAGATGTATGATGTTTTAACATAAAGTGTAAATCAATGTGTTCACAGGTTTTAAATTTATCATGTTATCTGGTCTCTCAAGGTTTTACTGTGAGCTTATAATTATCATGAAAACATTTCTTTATTGACTATATATAAAGATGTATTCTGTAAAACGTGCACATCAGAACGTATATTTAATGCAATAAACTTTAACATTTTTTACATTTTTTTTCGGTGTAAAAGTATTAATAAGAAATTTTGAATAAAAGTATAGTAGAGTGTATACTAATATGTGAAACACACTATATCTGCCATATCCAGCACTAACTAGTCCTTTCGCCCAGTACCAGTGCTACTCAAGCCAGGTGAAATACGATAGACACAGTAATGGTTGATGCACTATCTATATCAGCAAGTCGCTTAACAACAACAGTTACGTTGTGAAATAAGTTGTTCAAGTGTAATTTTTCAACAATTTTAATTATATCACTACAGAACAGAATTCGGGTAAGAATTTTTTACACCATATTACTTATTTATTTTAACAACAAGTTATTCATCATTATTATCATTTATTTATCTTACTTGAATACTACCCATAATTTAGAAGAACTGACGAACCAGCAAATTAGCCTTCTTGATCCCGGTTCGAGTCAAGCGATCAAAGCGTCAACGTGAGAAGACTACAACAGTAATTATTAATACGATTTTCAATATTAGAAATACATACAATGATGTAAGACAACGAAATCATTCAAACAAGAAAGATTAAAATTAACGATTTTACATGACACCAACCTTCACCTAAATCATTCTTACTCACAGAAACCACCTATTTAATAAATTTACGTAATTTGTACAGAGAAACAAATATCTGGGAAACTATTTACTCTTTAAGCTTTGGCTTACTGTGTTAAAAGTTAATCAATTTTCATCGCCTGTAGTATAACGATATCTCTATATTTTGTTGAAACTCACCTGTTTGTTATTTGGATATTTTATCACATTCCTATATTTGCAATCCACAAAAAAAATCTGTCAAGTTCTTACAATAATTGAAGGTTGTAAATAAAATCGTGTTGACAGGTAATGTGTATAAGAAAAATTATATGAATAGCTGTACTCAAAGTATGTATAAACAACTCAGAGAAAACATGTTATGTCAAGGATAACGTCTTTTATATATATGTATAGCCATGATTCGACTAAATTAGCTGTTTTCATATTCAAGTTATGATTTTACGAAGTAGAACATCCATCTTTCAAGTACTAGTTTTATCTATACCCTATTTCCAATAACATCACACTCCTGAAAGACAACTATTGATTGGAAAGATCTTAACATCTATAAACTTATGTTTGTGTTGTGCACGTATTCTTTAGATGACCATAAAATGTACAAGACGAGTTTAGATGATACGTATTTTCATATGTAATTTATGGTATTTTTAGAAAGATAGTTGGAAAACTCACAACTATTTGTTACCACAAATTCATTTGTTACATAACATTAAAAAGCAAAAAAAAATTATAATAAAAAAACACACAGAGCAACTACTGATTTATGAGTGAAAGTACCTGTACATAATAGAATCGGTCTTATAAGACTGATTATTTTGTGTACTTTAGGTAATCCATAAAATATTCCATAATGAGAATCAACTGATCTAATTTCATTACAAATCTTTTTAGATATTAATCCTCTTTTTTAATTTTTAAAAGATAATTTTTATAAACGACTCTCGGTGAGTAATTTCCAAAGCAAAAAAGCGATCCCTGTAAAGATTGGTACGGAAATCTGAGAACACCCGAAGGAAAGCAGGTACGATATAGAATAGTAAAATCAAGAGCAAAAGCTAAACGAGATGTTGGAAAAATAGATATAATAGAGAACAAACAGAGTTGCATTCAAGTTGATGAAAATAACATTAAGATGGAATGGAAATAGTATTACGAAGAACTGGTAAGTGTTGAAAATGAGAGAGGGGTTTTGGAAGAAGTGCCAGTCATAGAAAGCCCAGTGGAAGAAGTCAAAAAGTTGTAGGTAAGAGAACCATTGACAAAATGAAACTTGGAAAAGCGAGTGGTCCATCGAGAGTGGTAGTGGAAATGATAATAGCTTTAGAATGAGAGGGAATTGAATGGGTATAGCAGTTTCTGTAGGAAGTATGGGAAGAAGAGGAAACACCTTCAGGTTGGGAAAAAAAAGCATACTGGTCCGTATATACAAACAAAAAGACGATATACTAAACTGTGAAAATAATAGAGGCATTAAGCTAATTGAACATATTTTCAAAACGTTTGAAGAGGTAGTAGAATATAGGTTAAGAAAAATTGCACAGACTGGTGAAATGCGGTGTGATTTTATGCCTGGGAGCTTTAGGAAAAGTTTTAGAGGGGAATGAGAAGCTTTATTGGTACTTTGTGGATTTGAAAAAAGGTGTACGATAGGGTGCAACGAGACATTATTTATTAGTGTCTCAGGAATAAGGGGGTCCTAGAGAAGCTATTAGGTATAGTGAAAACAATGTAAAATGAGCAAAAATGTTAGATATACATGACTGTTTCAATTTAAGTATAGCGTAAGTATTGAATTTACTTATTTTTAGAAGCGATAATCTGTCGCAGGTTTATTCACGTAACTGTTTTCAAATCATATGTTGTGTAGTTCAATTGTTGTGAACTGGTGATTGTTGTATTATTGCGTCATGTTACTAGAACCTTCTAAGTGTTTCTCGTTGCTTTACTTGAGTATTATTGCATCATAATATCGCGTAGTCTGCAGAACGTTCTAGGCCTCTGTCAGTCTATAAATACGCGTCCAAAATGTAGTTCGAGTTAGTTAGATATAGATAGATCTAGACTGCGTGATTGTGAGTTTAGCCATAAATAGTATATAGTGACGACTTTTAAAGTAAAATTATCACAGATTATATTGTAATAGCAGAGTATAGAGAATAATTCGTCTTTTTTGTTGTATTCTAAAGTAACTGAACCAGCCTTTGTGGAATTTGACGAAAAAGAGACAATTATTTAAAGCTCTGGATACAACCGTGATAATTAACAGTGCAACGAAAATCGGTATATACATTTGACTTGTTTTAATACATTATTTTAGAACAAGTGAACTGTGTACTGTTTGTTTATTGTTGAAACTTATCACCAACAAGTCACAGACAGCTACTGTAAAGAATCCGGCCCATACATAAAATCTGACAAAGAACAGGACAAAGAATAACTGAAGAGTTTGAAGTAAAAGTAGTTCTATATCAAGGATCAGCTATAAGCTCTTTCCTGTGATAGTGATGGATATTTTGTATGATGAAGTAAGAAGAGGAATACTTTGGAACCTCTTGTTTGCAGATGATTTGGTTATAACAGCTGAAACAGGAAAAGAGGTGTTGGATGTGGCAAAAACTCTAGAGAGAGGTGGATTATAGGTAAACACCAGGAAAAAACGGAGGCAATGCTAAGTATAAGAAAGGGAGGAAGAAGAGAAGAGCTACAGATAAAAATCAATAACATCTTTGATATCAAACAGTGAAATACATTTAGCTAACTAGGCTACAACATTAGGAGCAAAATAAAAAAAAAGTAGTTAAGCCAGATCTGCTTTATGTAGCAGAAACCTGGGTTAAAAGAAGGAAGAGGGGGGATATTTTAGAAAGAACTGATATGAGAATGTTAAGAACGATGCTGGGAATATATTTGAAAGAAGGAATAATGAGTGATGACATCAGAAAAAGAGTTGGAGTTTGTAAGATTTTAGGAAAAGCAAGAGAAGTAAGACTGAGATGGTTTGGATGTGCAGTGAGAAGAGCATTAAAAATGCCAACGGAAAGACAAAGAAGTAGAAAAAGACAGATAATACGATGGAGAGAGGTTGAGGCAACTAGTAATGATGTAATATATGGAGAATGAACCGA